TACTAGTTTTACATAATTTTTTAAATTCTGAATTAGCTAGAATTCTCTGCCATATTGAATAATATGCTCACCTATTATATAGCTTTGTTCTTGGCTATTTGAATACTTTGCTAGGAAGGCTTCAGTAGTGGTTTGCTGTATCTGTAGCAGTGCTTTTTTTTTCTTTTGTCCCGCCTCTGTATATCAACAGAGCTTTCTAGGAGGCGAGCAGACCACAGCATCAACCCCTACCAACCCGTCGGAGCAACACTGGAATCAGCAGTGTAAGCCGATAAGAATAGCAACTTTTGAATTTGACTTCAAGAATGTAGCACAGGACGGCAGTTCGCAAGATGAAATTGATGGTACACCCAACAGCAGACCAAATATTAGAAGCAAATGGAATGAAGTTTTATCATCATTAGAATCAGAAAATATTAATTCACATCGCATTATGGATCAAGGTGAACAAAATTTTGGTTTTGACGAAACTAATTTTAATAATGGAAATGCAAGTGATGATGAACCTGTGTCTCTCAGTGCAGATGGTTTACAAGATATTCATAATCTTAGTCAATCTATGCACAATCTTATAAACAATTTAAATGAAAAACATGTTCAAGAGTATCATTTAAAATCATCAAATAGTGAAACTTCATCCTTCGACAGTATTCCTGAAAATTCAATGTTAATAAGTGGTTATCATAATACAAAGACGATTCAAAGTAATGTGAGTTGTGACAACAATCCAGTTCAAGAAAATATATATTCCTTCAATGAAAGAAATTCCTCTAGTGAAATTAATTCTACTGTACAGATTACACCGGACATATCAACCAATAGTAACATGCATACCTTTGAAACACCTAAAGCAGTTAGTTCAAAGATTAATAAAAAAAGGTATAGGCAGAAACATCTTTATGAAAATTTAATATGTCCTGAAAAAATTAATTTAAATCTCGAGAGTGACGATATGAAAAATTGTAATATGCTTTTATCGTCAACTGGTAGTTCAACTGGTAGTTCTAGTAATGATATAGAAACATCAGACAGCTTTGTTAATATTCAATTTGCACAATTAACACAGGAACAAAGGTCAAGTTCAACTCAAAGTATGGAGTCAACTGATAGTTTCGAAAACATTTGTTTTTCATATAAACAGGAACCAAAGAATGATAATACAAGTGATCCAAACGATAATGGTTTTGTAAATGAAGACTCGCAATTAAAAACTTTAACAAATCAGAATAAGTCGGCAACTAAAATATTGCAAGCACCAGTAGCACTGAAAGGGAATGCGTCAGAAATTTCCAAATCACAAAATATTCTAAATAATAGAAAGAGTTTAATGAAAACTCCGGATGCATCAAAATCTATGAAAAATGATGTGAAACTTAGACGTGAAAGATATACACAAAAAAATGCTACAGATTCAAGAACATCTGTAAAAAATAAAAGATTTAGTTGTCTTCTACCACCTTCCACAAAAAAGGAGATTGGGTCTGTTTTAATTAGTGATAAATTAGTTCCTTCTACTACCAGAATAAGTCGAAAGTTTAGTTCTACCGATGAATTAAGGGACGAAAAACAAACATCGACAGAAAAATCGAAAAGGTTTAGTTTATATTATACTCCACAACCTTTACGGAAAAATTACGAGAGTGATACGAAAGCTGGGAAAAGCATGTGCAAAAATATATTAGCAAATCGCGGTGATCGACAAAGTAATGGAAAAGCTTTGGAGATAAACAAAAAGAAAGAGGATGGTTTAGAACTCGATGAAAAAAATAGTACGAAAAGTCGGAGGTCAGTTATGGATTATACATCCACCACAAAAAGTAAACCCACCAAGCAGAGTGCCCACATCAGGACTTCTGCAATTCCTACAACGATCAGTAGAACAAAATGATCGTAATTATCATAATTATATTTATATATCGAGAGTTAAATGTCGACACTGGACTAATCCGTCAGAAGAGTCTAAAGTTATAATAAATATTTTAATGTAAGTTTAAAGTCGATTTAACCAAGGGAGTGGCGCCATTTGTTCATAGATTTTGAAAATGTTGATGTAACAGTCAATAATTCAAATTAGAACATGTGGGCTTCGCACATAAACGAGACATGCCAAATGCATTTAGGTAGTTTATTCTATATTTGATATCTATTATTGTACGTAGTACAAGTATCGAATTAAAGTAGGTAGTAGATAAACGAGCTTCGTTTTTCGACGACGTAAGCAAACAGTGAAACATAAATTATAGCCGATGAAATTGTATTAATAATGCACAAACCCTTGTGGCAAGTGACAGAGGGCGACAGTGCGAACGATTATGCGTAACATTTGCGTAGCTTGTTACATATATTTGCTCAAAACTAATTCGACTAATATTAGAGTACATATTTTTGTAAAATATTGTGCGTGGTGTTATAAGAGCAATATATAGAGAATCGTGATAATTATAATCTAATGATCGGGACACCATGGAAAACTTAATGTTGAATATGAGAACAGACAGAGAATTGATTCAGTGAGTATCACTTCTCGTATGAGAGTATTTTTGTAGAAATTATGTGCCGCACAAAACATTTCATACACGCCTTTCTCCCTTTGTCGCTTGAATATACTTTTTAAGGTTATCCCCGCTACGATTTCCATATTTTTTAATGCAATCATTACTACTTATAACAGTGTACATATGAGTAAGATAACGAATAAGAGATTCATAAAATCTTATTTAAGTATTATCTCATCTATTCATTTTTGTAATTTGTAATTCGTATATTTCGCGCAAATTAGGTAATTTATCAAGAAATTTCGTACTAGAGTCAACCCGTATTTAGGGAAGATAATCACTGTACTTTTTTATTATAAGCACAATTAATTCGCAAGTGCGTATACGACATTAGCGTAGTTTCTAGAAATTTAAAAGTGATTTACGCCAAATATAGAAACCCATTTCCTATTTATATTATTATCTGTATATGTATTTACTACACGGGAAGAACTCGTATCTTATTTGTTGCTATTACCGTTGTCCACATTCATTTTATTTCTCTTGTATTTTCGATGTAATTGTGACCATATATATGCGAACACCTTTTACTTGGCTGTAAATTATTTGTACTCGACTTATTTCTTCAATAACAATTTATTAAAAGACGAGTATGATAAAAGCCACTGTGAAGAATTTTGATTCATATTTCTCACAAATACTCAGTTTGAACATGTGTTTAGTAATTTTGCGTTTGTTTAAACGAATATGAAAATTTTTATTTTAGTGTAACAAAAGATACTTTGAAGCCCTATTTATAATTATTAACGTTTTACTTTTGATAAACATTATTTTAAACTTAAATTATCTTTTACAAGAATATAATTTGTCCATCTTTTAATTTATCTAATTTTAAAAATTGGTCAACGTAACGAATTACATGTGCATATTCTCGTGAAAAGAATGATTTCTTTATGTGAGTAATATTAAGCTATTAGGTTAATGCTTGAAATACAAATTTGAAGCTAAATTAGTTTTGGAGTATAAAGTATTAGATGTTTTTTTGTATATGTGTAATTTGTACCAAAAAGTATTCCGAATGTTATAAATATTCTCAATTTATATACATTTATGTATGACTAGTTATTAGTTTCACAAGTATAGAAAACGACATCCTTTGAATTTTTCTTCGAAATTTTACTATAAAAAATAAATAGAATGTTTTATCATTTAATTAAGTATTATTATCAGT